AGGGTGGAGCAGGAAAAGGTGCCCCAGATGTTTACTTCTTGGAAAAGTTTTGAGACCAGAATCCTGGCAGGCTAGAATAATCTCCCACCAGGTGGGCAGGGTTGAGTGGGGACATGGAAGAACTCAACAGCGAAGGTGGCTGGCCATATCCTGCTTTAGGAGGCAACATGAGGTCCCAAAGCTGCCCTGCAGGATGCTGTCTTCATGGTGAGAAGATCAGCTATGAGTATTCTACTGGCAAGAAGGGAAAGCATTGAGAAATGGCGAGAACAAGTGTCACTAAGAACAGGTACAAGCCCAGTATTTCAAGTTCGCTCTGTTGCAGAAGACTCTATCTGTAGAGGTGTGTGAGACCTGAGAAGGCTGGAGTGGGGGTGCGGAGTGTTTTAAAAGATTTTGTTGTGTAGACTTGAAATCCAGCACTTGAATCAATCATTGCTATGCTTTAAGGAACCTGTTAACTACACAACTGGCTGTTTTTTTGCTGAGACACCTTGACATATTTTGGCATAGTTTTGTGTGTGTGTGTATGTGTCTGTGCCTGCATGTGTGTGTGTATGTGTGTGTGCCTGTGTGTGTGTGTGTGTGTGTGTGTGTGTGTGTACTATGCCTCCCTCTCTCCCTTAGGAAGGATTTGCTTGGGTAGAGGAGAGGACTGTGGATACACACAGCAAACATTACCAGCACCAATAGTTCTTCCTCACTTGTATCTGGGAGGACTGGGGTCCTTACGTGGGGACTATATTAGGGAGCTGCGCAAGAAGTGAACATCCTTTAAGAAGGGCAGCTTCTGAGATAGCAAACAGATGTGCTCACTCCTCCTCACAGCATGAAGTGACACCAGGAGGAACAAGAAGCTGCATCTAAGGAGTCTAAACACTGACCCAGGCCTTTACCTCAGCTGTGACTTCTCTGTCTACACACACTATGGGGACACCTCAACAATGTTGACTGGGTAGGGTGTCACAGAACCAATGCTCGACTTTCCTATGTTTCCAGAAATAGACTACTGGATTCTAGCTGGAGCCTGAGGGGCATCATTCTCTCTCCCAATCCATGGGTGGACCTAAAGAAGAAGCTACATCTACAATGGAGAGCCTGAAGGCTTACTTTGACTGAGCACAATGTTGTGACTGTAGAGAGACAGGATGTGGATTGAAGTCAACATTTTCACAGGCTGTCTGCACTGGCCATTTACTTCCAACATCAGTACCTGACCTCACATTCCTATGACAATTAGGCAAAGCTCTTGGAATGTGTTGCTAAGCTTAGAAGACCTCTTGCCTCCACCAACCCAAAGGCTAGGATTGCTGAAGCATCTGGAACCTATAGAAGAAAGTCACCCAATATTTTATAGCCTGCTTACCTAGTGCCAGTAATGACCAAGCTTGAATTTCTTTCTCACCTTAATAGAGGCTTGTCCAAAAAGAAACTTAGCTTCCGTGTTTGTGGACCTGCAAAATAAACTAGCAAAAAGAACTTAAAGAGGCAGGACAGATTTTTATCTGTTCAAAGAAAAATGTTGCTTGAAGAGATGGCTGGAGTTTGGAGCTAATAACCCATCTTTATAGGGGCAAGGGTGAGAAAGAAAGAGAATTAATTGGAAAGTAAACAAATTTTTGGAAAGCTAAGTGAGCCCTTAAGAGAATAGATGGGGATGGTGAGAGTTTTGTAGTAGTGCCTGTCCAGGGAACTTTTTATCCCATGCCAGGTTCTCTCTGGTGTAGACAGATGCCACAGTGGTTAAGAACACTGGCTGATCAAAACCCTAATTCTAATTCCACCATTCTTGTGGTGGCTAACAAGCATCTGTAACTCCCGATCTAAGAGATCCAATGCCCTCTTCTGGCCTCTGAGGACACAGCACACACACAGTGTGCAGAAATGTATGTAGACAAAGCACTCATACATTTTTTTAAAGGACAGATTTGTGTGTTATGAAATCTTTGGGTGCATGTGGGGGGATTCTTCTTTAGGTTGAAGGCAATATGCTCCAAAATCAGATATAAATTTAATTTGAAGAGGACAAAAAAGTGACATACTTCGTTCAAGTTCAATTCATATGAACTTCAAATGTAAACATCTAAAAATATCTAAATACATTGGCTTATTACCAGTTGTTAACAATCTAATACAGCTTTTCTGGGACATATGGGAGATAAAAATGGAAAGGCTTAGAAGGAATACCAAGGGATAAAGGCTTACTGCTAGAACTGGTCAACACACTGGGCTATATTCATGGGAAGCCCCAGAGTCTGTTCTCCAAAGCAAAGCCTCTGTTACTGTCTGGAGCACAAGTTAATGATTAGCATGTATATCTGTCTTCTCTCAGGATTCAAAGGACATAAAATGTACATACATTTTTCTTTTAGAAGGGTGACCCCTTGAGGAAAATTATGATTTCTTTGACACTTTTTCCCCGATGAAAAAGTATTGAAGAGCTGATGTCAGAACCTGACAGCAGGTGAACCCGTAGACGTCTTTACCACTGTGTGGGCATTCTATTCTAGATTTCTGGCAATCCTTGAGTGTACCCCGTTTCTTCTTACTAACCTTAATACCTCTGCATTTCCCAAGCATTAGCGGCAAGACAATTATTAAGCAAGGGTTTCTTTACTGAAACTCTGGTAGTGTAACAAGGTAAAATGTTTCCCACAACATCTCTTCACCTCTCTTCCCCAAAGGGGAGGGGAGTTCTCCATTCTATGTTTCTCAAGCATAGTTTTGGCTTCCTCTATTTTGCTGAGTAATTCAGTGTTTCTCCTAGACTTGCAACAAGGCAAAAGGTCCACAATGTCTGGGACTCTCTTCCACTTAGAGGGATGTTTAGTAAATAATAGTTATTATTTGAAAATGGCTTAAATATCTTGCTCTAAGGTCCCTCAACTCTGTCCTTTGTCCCCGCTGTGCAGTTGACTGAAGTGCATTTTTCCCATGTATATAGGCAATACCTTAGAACAATGCTAGTCAGTGGAGTTTTTTGTTTGTTTGTTTTTTGTTGTTGTTATTGTTGTTGTTTTTATTCCTGGATGATTACATATGAATCCAGCTAAATAACATGGTCACTTGCTGATTTAAATACCAGGATGTTGGAAATTTCGGGGTCAGGTGTTTCAGAGAAGATGTTCTTTCCTTGAGTATGAGCAGAAACTTCAGACTTTGTTATATTCTGACACAGTCTGTGTCACAGTATAACTGGGCACACAATGAGGCCACATCTTGGTGAATGAAAAGCCCAAAACAAATGTAGAGATGGTCTATTGTACTGTTTGCACAACTATCCTGTGAGTAAACAAACCTCCTCATGGGAAGAGGTTCTAAATCTTTTCAGAAGAGGCAAGTTTCCAACCTCTTCTCTTGGTGGCATCTCCTTCAAAATTATCTGTCATTGTACTATGGGGGTTGCCCCGGAGAAATATGACTTGGATTTCTAAAGGTGCCAATGTAAAGAGAATGCAGAGTTCTGATTATATACAGTTTGTTTGCTTTAAGATCACAATTCCACATAAAAATAGGAATGATTTTGTTTTGGCTTGGGGAGTTGGAATAGTTATGTGGGAATGGCTCATCTGTTCTACTAGTTAGGTCTCCTGAGGACAAAAACATTTTTAGATCTTTAATCTGTGGAAATTCACATTAGATATGCTGCCCTATTATTAATTATCTTTCTTAAGCATCTGAGAAAACCACAAATACCATGTCCACAGTTAGGAATGAACTCACTGCACTGGAAGAATTGTATAAACTTGACAAATCTTTCTGCTTCTTTATTTGGCTTCATGCTTAAAGGGTAGTCTCATTAGGTACCCATGGAATCATTCTTTGTGTATTAATTAGTTATAAGTAGACTCCACAGATAGCACATATTTAATGGTAAAATACATGTGTATTGTGTGAAAATATAGTGTTTTATATTCTAATGAAGACATTTCAGAATTTCTTCTATTATGTTCAAACTACAGCATACCAAAGTCAGCACTGTTTAATATTAGAATATTACTCTCTTCCTAAAGATAATATAATTCCAAGTGACACTGAGCAGACTGTTTATATTTCTGCATAACTAGAGGACTTGAACTTTATTTAAGGGGATCTTGGCTTCAGCGCAGTGCAGGGGGATGAATACTGTATCTGGCAGACCTATGTGTCTGCCTTACAAAATAAACGTTTGATAAATCTGAAATTCCTTTGTAGGTTTAACCATAGTTAGATTGAAGACTGAAAATGTCTGTAAAATATTTTCACATGAAAATATTCACAAGGGCACCAGTGCACTTTCAAGTTGATTAGACCCATCTCTAATTCCAAAAATAACTGATATTATTTTTTTTTTTTTACCATTCCTGCTCCTCTGAGTATTGGATCCTTGTAGATGGCACATCAGTCAGGAACGAGACAAAATATTTTCCATGTTAACTTAGACTAAGGGACAAAACATGAGACTTTCACAGTTTGACCATGGGTTTTGGGTAAGCCTGACTTACCATTATGCCAAGAAGCAAATAATAGTCCAAGAGGGGGTCTTGGCCTTATCTCACTATGTCTACATATTGTAGAAGGATGGGCAAGTTTTAATATGAGAGTTGCTGGATGGAAGCTGGGACCATGGAAGGAAGCCTGTGGACATTGTCTGGGATCAGAAGGAAGGCAATGCCAATGCTGGAGACACAGTATGGAGGAAAAGAAAGGAAGGGTGGGAGACCTCTGAATTCCCTTTTCCTTACTTTCTCTGAGGATTACATCTGGCTGAAGCCATTTGCCCACAGAATTTGGAAACAACCTTTTCAGGTAAGAGTATAACATGAAATTGGAGAACCTTGGATTATATAAAGTTTATTTTTCCTTTTCAGTAAGGTAGATACTTGCTGTTTCCATATCTGTATAAGTTACCTCTCAGTTACTGTAACAAAATACATGAGAAGATTCAGTGTTTGAGTTTTTAGTCCATGGTTGGTTGGCCCATGGCTTTTGGAGTGTAGGGAGTAATGTGTTCTTGACAGGAGCATGGCTGCATCAAGAACCCAATACCAGAGACTCATGGGGATGCGAAGCCTTCCCGTGGCTTCTGTGTGGATGTTGACAGAGGCTCATGGGGATGTGAAGCCTTCCCGTGGCCTCTATGTGGATGTTGACAGAGTGAAGAAAGTATCAACCATAGCTTCCCCGTCCTGGTTGTCTCCAGCAGCCAACGTTCCCTTATAAGAACCTTGCCCTACAGTTCACTAGACATGCTTCCATGTTTAGCTGCATAAAATAAAACTGCCTCCACATTCAGATGAATAAGATAAATGCTCCAAATTTCCCTGCTGCTGGTGCTGCACCTCCCTCGTGTGCATGGCCCACACAGTCCACTTTCCTGTCTGTGTGTCATGCCCTCAATGATGCCGGGACCCAGAAGCCTAGCTTTTGACACAGGATCATTGGAGGGACATTAAAACTCCAAACTAGAGTGTTGTCTTTGAAGCAAGGACATGAGACCCTGAAATTCTTCTGCCCATTTCGTATGGCACTGGATCTGGCCCATCACTATGCCTATATTTAAGAGAGAAGCAAGAAGGGACATCCCAACTGTGTGTCTATTCAGCATTTTGATTGTGTGTCTATGGCTCTGGGAATGCATGTGCTTCAAATTCAACCTACCATGGCATTGTTCTAGAAAGCTGAGATAAGGGAGCAAACAAAGCTGTCAACAGTTTTTGTTATATATATTCTTCTCCCATACATTAATTACATCCTGACTGAATTTTCCCCTCCCTCCACTTGTCCCAGTCCCTCCCCTATACCTCCCTTCTCCTCTAGATCTAATCCTCTTCCCCTACATTCCTTTCCCTTTAGAAAAGATCAGGCCTCCCAGGTATATCAGCCCAACGTGGTACAAGGTCCAATAAGACTAGGCACAAACCCTCATGTCATGATTAGATGAGGCAACCCAGTAGGAGGAAAAGGGTCCCAAGAGCAGGCAAAAGAGTCAGAGACACCTCCTCAATGCCACTGCTGGGATTCCAACAAGAACGCTAAGCTACACAAACATAACATATATGCCGAGGGCCTTGCTCAGACCTATACAGGCTCCATGATTGTGGCATTAGTCTCTATTGAGTCCTGTTTAGTTGGTTCTGTGGGCTGTATTCTCATGGGGCCCTCAAACCCTCTAGCTCCTACAATCTTTCCTTCCCCTCTTCTGCAGGGTTTCCTGAGCTCTGCCTAATGTTTCTGCCAACAGTTTTAAATCCTTCATTGTGCTGACATTCTAGTGAAGACCCACAGACAACAGAAAATAATTAGTTTGTAGTAGGGAGGTGCATATTATGGACAAAACAAGCAGAGCAAAGTGGACAGAATTAAGTTTCCTCCAAAGAGGCAACAATGTTTGTGATGTTACACAGAACAATTGATACACAGATCTTTGACTTGGTTCTATACCTTCTATAAAATGTATGGCTAGACTTTCCCTTATCAAGGAGTCATATCACTTCCCTATTGATCTGGTCAAATTAAATGTAATGTTTCCCTATGTTTGAAGGAGTAATAATTCTCTGCCTATAAAGACAGAATTTGTATAATTACTTTGTTCTAGATTGTAAATGAGAGCTTACTAAATACTAACTATTAATAATAGCTAAATCATTCAGGAAAAAAATTTAGTAAAATGACTATTTTCCATTTGATTAATTTCCATGCAGGTGTTCTTTAAACTTTCAGAAAATCATTAACAATTTCAAAAGTAGCTATGTTAATACAGAATAGACATGTAAGTGAAGAATTCCCATCCATTGACTTCATACTAATTTTATGCTTAACCACATAATTTTTCTACAAAATCTGACATGGTGATTACTGTACAGCATTTTTTTCTTCAGAAAGCTGGTTCTACATGAGGAAAATGTCTGCTGTAAAGACATCCTTTCAACGGTGTGCCTGGATATCTATCCCTACCTCTCATGCTCCACTGGCTTTCCAGGTAACTCTGCCATGCTACATCTTCCATCTTGTTCTTATTATCCCCATAACAGATCCTGAGCTAGGCCAGCAGAGATGCCCCACAGGTAAAACCCATGCATTTTTAGAAGGCTATCCAGGGCTGTAGGTAGATGCTCTTCTCCCTGAAGATCTAGAATGATCCTTACTTAAATCTAAACCACAATACTCTCCCAGTTCACTTGGGAATATCTAATATCTTTTAAATTTTTTAAAACTTCTTTTATTTTATGTATATGAGTGCTTTGCCTAAATGTATACCACAGGCACACTTTATATCCATGGAGGCCAGGGGAGAGCATTAGATCACCTGGAACTGGAGTAATGAAACTGTGAACTACCACATGAATACTAGAAACTGAGTCCTTGGTAAGAACAGCAAGTAGATCTCAGCCCCTGAGACATCCCTCCAGCCTGAGAACATTTAAGACACCCTTTCTTCCTTTTAGGACTTCTTACTAAGGACTGTATTAGTTGGGACTGGAGACATGATTTAGCAGTTGGCACATCTTGCCTATCAGATGACTTGGGTTCAATTCGCAGAACCTACACTACAGCTCACATTCTTCCTTAATTATTTTTCCAGGAGATCCAAATCCCTCTTCTGGCCTCCATTGGCCTCCCAGGTATGTATTTGATACTCACACATACATCCAAGCAAACACTCATACACATGAAATAAGTTTAATAATAATTGTATTAGTCATCTTTCACATCACTGTGACAGAATGCCTGAAAGAAACAATTTAAGGAAGAAAGGATACATTTTGGTTCACAGTTTGAGGGGATATAAATCCATCATGGTCAGGAAGGTGCAGTAGTGTACCTTTCTGGGAGTAGGAGTCCATTTGTTGCACTTCAGAAGACAAGAAAATAGAAAGCTTGAGGCAGAATTGCAGAAGCAGAGCCAGGCTATGACCTCATGTCCTGGCCCCTCAGTGATCCCTTTCCTTCAGTTAGGTAGCCCTCACCTAAAGGTCCCACAATTTCCCAAAGCAGCATCACCATCCAGAGACCGAATGTCCAAACACATGATCCCATGGGGAGCATTCCACATTAACAACATGACAGGAACATCATTTTAGTGATGCTAGTAATAAGTCAGGAGGGGTGCCTGTGCTCCTTGAAGTGATATGGAGATAAAAACCCAGGGCAGCACAGTAACCTATCTGCTGGCCAAGCCTTTCCTGATAGGAAAGACATGGATGTTTCTGTTGGTGACAGAAAAGACAGCTAAAGAATTCACTGGTGGTATTATAAGTATTGCTTTTTAGCAATATATAATTGTGAAATATAGATGAGATCTTGCCAGAGTATTGCTTCAAGATGGCAAGAATTTTTTTTTATATGAATCAAAAGTCTAGAAAAATAAAAGATTTCTGAGAAAAGATGAGTGGGGAGAGGCAAGGACCAGCAAAGTGTCCATGTGTGATACTGTGTGCCATGATTCTGCAGATTTTATTCCATGGAATTTGAAGAACATAATGGAATAAGGAAAATTTTTCCTGGAGTCCATATGTGTATTCTTAGCAAGTCATTACTACCTATTGAGAACAATGGCTCCAGGTTTTATTAAAAGATATGAAATTTTCATTGTGTGATCTAGTCCATGGAATTATAGGCAGAATAAAGCTATTAGCCAAAACAATGGCTGTACTCCAGAACAAAGGATTATAAATAGAATACTACATATGAAATCTTTATATGTGGAGGTCAATAGTCAATAATTCCCGCTTTGAGAAATTTTTGATCTAGTCAAGGGCTTGCATAACTCATCATTTTCCCCCTTTTTAAGCCTAGATGCTCAATGGATACATTTAACCATATCCATCTGTAAAATCCCAAACTATCATGAAAACTTCTGTTGTTAGTGTAAGAGAACACCATAGTCACAAGATAAGGACTATTAATATTGTCCAATACAAACTCTTACATTTGTGGCAGTTTGAATGCAAATGGCCTCGGTAGGCACATATATTTGAATGCTTGGTGTCCAGTTGGTAGGACTGTTAGGGAGGGAATGAGAAGTGTTGACTTGCTGGAGATGGCGTGCCACTAGAGTTAGACTTTGAGGTCTCAAAAGTCTGAACCATTCCCAATTGGCCCTCACCCCTGCCTGGGGGTTGTGTCTCAAGATATGAGCTCTCAGCTATCACTCCAGCACCATGTCTGCCAGCCTCCTACCACATGATGTCTCATCACAGCAGTAGAAAAAATAAATAAGACCTTCTATCTTTAATAAGTCTTCGTAATGTTTTAAATTCAAAAGTTTATTAAATTAATTTCAATTCTTTCATTTTTTAAAGGGGAATCCAAATCCCTTTATTGAACTTACTTTAGCTTCCATTTCTTTAAAGTTTTTATTCTTTTAGGTTTACTGATATGTGTATCTCATATTACCAAACAACACTTAAGTTCTGCATCCTGTACTAGACAGTAGGAAACAGTAGTAAGACAAGTAAGCTTCCATTTCATGGACTTGTCTTCTTAAATCTATAGGAATCAATGCCCCTTCTGAATCACTATTTTAATCTTTGTACTGGAGACTGCTTTTAAAAGGTCTGGAATGGGGAACTTATCCTTTTTGACTCAGACTGGTGGGACTATTGCTACCATATCACATGCTAGAGCGTACATCCTACCACATAAAAGAGACACTCGCTTAGTCACCATAACCAGCTTTAGGTTGATTAAATCAGAACAATAAAGCGGGTTGTTCAGGACAGGGCAAAGGTTAGAGGACAGAATTGTTGCATGGTTTGCCTGCTAGTTCTGCAGTCTGTAGGTAGGAGAATTGGTACAAGCTCTGTTCTTGAACCTTAGCTGATTCTCAGCTCTAGGGTCGCTGTGAACCTAAGTGCAACAGAGAGCAAATGTTACTGACATCAGAGCAAGGGGAACAAGTAAAATACCTTCTGTGGCTCCAACTATATTATGTCTAGACCCTTGAATGTGTTTATCTCCTTTAGTCTCTGTGACTTGAATTTCTGTTCCTTCCAGACAACATGGTCCTTCCACCTGTACCACAGACATCTGCTCAGTTCCCTTCCACTTGTCCTTTACATCAGGGCTTGCTCTACTTCCCCAAGAAGTCCTTCCTGCCCCACCCACCCTCCCACCCCCAGTTTCAGTTAGCTCTTCTCCTACATGCTTCCATTTCCCCATCTTAGCATCTGTTATCTTACTGAAAGTGTCTGCATTCAAAATAGTCTCTCCCTTAGCCT